TGGTGAGGTGGTGTTGGAGCCGAGTCCCTGCAGGAAGGGGCAGCTGTGTCAGTGCTCTGAGCCTCCCACCCGTGCCCAGGCTTGGTGCTCCTGGTCGTGTGTGGGCACGGGGCACTGCCACGCTCCCTGTCGTGGTGCTGATCCTGGCTGAGAAGAGCCAAACCCTCCTGCTCCCTGTGCCAGGGCTACGTGGATGCGGAGGGGAGCAGGAAAGCAAAGCCTTGTGCCCTGCTGCCACGGTGCTGGGATTTGGCAAATCCCCAGTGGTGGCAGTGGGGTGAGCTGGGGCTGTCCTGGCTGGACAAAGGTCTCTGCTCCCGGGACAAGCAGCCTCTGCTTCACTTTCCATGCTGTCATGCTCATTTCAAAGGGTGGCTTGCACTGGAGAAGCTGCTTTTCCTGGTCCATGTTTTGGTCTCCAGAGCCAAGCTGTCCTGTGCAGCTCCCAGTTGGACTTTGGGCTTGTTGTTGAGCCCCCCTCCAGCACTTGGGGGTCTCATTTGGCCCTTCAAAGTGCACCCAGTCCCCCATGGTGCCCCCAGCTTGTTCGTGGTCCCTCCCGTCCCCCAGACCTAACCTTCATCTTCTGCTGAGGGCAGGGAGGTGCAGCCAAATCCTTCTGTTGTGCGGACTTTCATTTCCATAGCAGTAGCCATGGATACAGACTGTTTGTGCAAATAACCAATATTCCCACCCACACCCATCACTGACCATCGCAGGCGCCGGGGCAGCCCGGGGCTTGGTGTTCCTGATAGTCCTTGGCTTTACCTGCTGCTGGAATTTTGCTTTTCCAGATGCTCTCTAGGGCTTTGCTAAAACAAACCCTGACTTTGTCGAACGTTTGGAGTTATTTAACTACTTTCCAAACACTGGGGTGACTTGTGCAGTGTGGCAGAGGTGAGTGACATCCTCCAGCTTCTCCCGTAGAGTGCTTGAGGGTCAAAATATCTAGTCCTTAGAGCAAAATGATGCCCTTGGTTGTGTGTGCAGGTGACTTTGGGGTCTGGCAGTGGAGTTTGCATCCTAACGGGGCCGGGTCTGCCGCCGGCCCTGTTAGCTGATGGATGCTGTTGTGTTTCTCCACGTGTTTTAGACGTTTCTCCACCTAGTTTAGGTGCAGGAGGGATGTGTGGATCAAATCCCACATGCAACGAGTTGGATCTGAGACACTCTGAGCTTCAGGAGCTCGATGAGGTGTCTGGTGACGGAAGAAGCTGTTTGGGGAATAATATTGAGTAGCAGCACTAACGAGCGAGGCTGAGATGGTGCTTAATCATTGTTTGCTACTTGGGCCTCCAGTTTCTTCTCTTTAAAGGCTCGTTGGTGCTTAACGAAGGCTGTATGAAGTGGCAGAGCTCCTTTAGCACAAACATGAGGTTTAAATGCCCAAATTTTAGCTTTGGGAGAGCTATATAAGAGCATATAAACGTGGTGCTCTCAACAGGTGTGTGCCACTCAACAGGATCCTAAAGCTCTTGAAGCCACAGCAGCACCAGCATCGCTGCTGGTACCTTGTACCGCGATAGGTCCCGGTCACCTTCCTAAAGCCAGTACTATCCGTGTAAACCAGACCTGTTCCTTACTTGTGAGTTAGTGTGGATGTGTTGTAACGTGCCTGAAAAACCCACTCCTGCTTTTGTCCTTTAGGCGAGAGGATCCTGGGCTACGCGGAGGAGCCTTGCTACCTCTGGTTCGTCATGGAGTTCTGCGAAGGGGGAGACCTCAACCAGTACGTGCTCTCACGAAGACCCGACCCAGCGACAAACAAGAGCTTCATGCTGCAGCTGACCAGTGCCATCGCCTTCCTGCACAAGAACCACATCGTCCACCGCGACCTGAAACCAGACAACATCCTGATCACCGAGAAGTCCGGCACCCCCGTTCTCAAGGTGGCCGACTTCGGGCTGAGTAAGGTCTGCGCTGGCCTGACCGCCCGGGGCAAGGAGGGTGGGCACGAGAACAGAAATGTGAATGTGAACAAGTACTGGCTGTCTTCGGCTTGCGGCTCCGATTTCTACATGGCGCCCGAGGTCTGGGAAGGCCACTACACCGCCAAGGCCGACATCTTCGCCCTTGGCATCATCATCTGGGCCATGATTGAGAGGATCACTTTCATCGACGCGGAGACCAAGAAGGAGCTGCTGGGGACCTACATCAAACAGGGGACCGAGATTGTGCCCGTTGGGGAAGCGCTGCTAGAAAACCCAAAGATGGAGCTGCACATCCCTCAGAAACGCAGGACTTCCATGTCTGAGGGAATCAAGCAGCTCTTGAAAGACATGTTGGCTGCTAACCCGCAGGATCGACCTGATGCCTTTGAGCTTGAAACCAGAATGGACCAGGTTACATGTGCTGCTTAAATTCAGGGCAGGGCACCGCTGTGCTTTGCAGCTGGGTAAGTGATCCACAGTTTCTGTGTTATTCTGTCTGCTGCACCGCCCGATAATGCACTTTGTAGTGACACAAAGGAGCCTTTTATGTTCCCGGAGCTATTTCTATAGTGACTCATCAGAGCGCTGCTTCTGAGGTGGGTTTTTTTTCCACCTATTCTACTGCAAAAATAAAGTAGAGGTGAGAAACAGAATTAGCAGCTGCATGTCCCACTGCTGCCCAAAGCCCTGGCAGGGCTGGGCGGGCACCCTGCTCCTCCCAGCTCCTGGCCAGTGGCTGAGACCTGCAAGCACCCTCTGACACCAGCTTTGGGTACATCTGTCTCTCCCAGGGGCAGGGAAGGAGCTGCCAGTTCTGCCTCCTCTGCTGCATGGTAGGATTTCTGCAGTCAGCGCTGGGAGCCTCTTGCTGCCCAGTGCAGTCCCCTTCCCCCTGGACTCAGACTGGGCACCTTGGGGCTCAGCTGGCTCCGTGAGTGGGCACCGAGTGGAGTGGCAGTGCTGTCTCGGCGCAGGCAAAGCTGTTTCCTTTGCTTTCACCTGCAAGACGCGTGGGTCTGTCTTGTTTCGCTTCCTTGCTAGAGGCAGGACTTCCCTTTGGTGCGAGCTGCAGTCGCCCAAACCCAGTAGGATGCTTCGGTCTCCGGCATCTGAGTTCGGAGACCCACGCCTGCTCGGGAGGGCAGCTTCCAAAGCAGATGTGCTCAGACTGAGAGCAGAGTCCTCTCCCACCTCCCCACACCGTGATCCGTAACTAGCCCCAAGCTCAGAGGTCCCAGCCCTGAGGCCTGAGTGGTCACGCCGGGGTCTGGGACGGGGACCTGGGACAGCTGATGGTGTCACTAACCAGTGACACTGAAGAATGGGGAGATGTTGCCTGCATGGCAAAGCTGTCTGTAAACAAGAGCTGTTACTAAGGATTGTCCTGGCCAAACTTCAATGCAACTTCTTCAGCTTCAAGGAAACTGAAAAATCACAGATGACAAGGGCGAGGCTGATGTCTGCCCAGCCCAGGTTCTTTCTCAAGCTCCTGCAGAGCTGCCTGGCTGCTGCTGGGTGCAGGAGACCTCTGAAAGCCTGCCTGTGTCGGGGGCTGGCATGGCAGTGGGTGCTCCCCAGCCCCTACCCCACCCCAAAACCAGGCAGGTCCTGCTGGACCGGGGCAGCCCATGGATGCAGGAGAGCAGGGAGGGATGTAATGGCACGGCAGCCAGCTGATGGTCGTGCACTGAAGTGAGCCTCTGGTGGTGGGGAAGGTGGGGGCATTTTGGCAGGTGTTGCTAAAAAACCTCCATGCTGCCCACCTGAGGGTTCTGGAGCTTATGTAGAGTGATGTGCTGTCCGTCCCCTCTTGGTGTGTGCCCAGGTGGGCTCTGTGCTGTGTGCGGAGGAATAGGAAGATGGAATGGAAAGGCCCATGGGGTAGGTCTGGTTCTGTCACTGCTGGTCTGTCCAAACTCACCCACAAACCATCCCCTCTGCACCCCTGGCACGAAATATTTAAC